CGCCGAAGAAAATTGGAGCCGCGTTTGACGAGGATCGGCGCCGTGTGCGCGCGCGGTACACGTCGTGGGCGTCGATCGTGCCACGAGCGATCGCACGGCGATCTTCCAGATCACGCTCCAGGCCGGCCTGGAATGGATCGACCGCTCTCAGACGGGGTGGGGTATGTGGAAGCGTGCGCTCGCGGTTTCTACTATTCTCACGCCCACCATCACCGGCCACGAGACCGCAGCAGAGCTCCTAACCGTCGTCGCTAATCACTGACATTACTCCTGAAAAAGCCGCCCATGAGTCGATTCCGTCGTCTTTACCGCGGCCTCGAGAGAATCGCCGGAATTTCTTCGACAGCACTAAAATCCTTCGTTATACGGTGACCCCCGCCAATATGATGATCTTTGCGCCATCGACATCGAATTCGGATAAGATTTCTCGGCAACAATCGTTTCTTCACGGGAGGCTCCCCGCGAAAGCGACTTCCCGCCGTCGTAATTGAAACGGCGCATGGTAATCTCGCTAGGAAATGTCAGATTATTGGTCGCTTATGTCGAAAGGAAATGATTTATTCGACAATGATCGCACAAGCTTACGTAAACTCGCGATGGCTGTAAGGAATATCCGCGTGAGAACCCGGTGGCTCCCGACTTTTGCTACGAGATTAAGTCACGTATAATGCGACGCGTGCGCCATAAAATTTCTGATTGTATATAAATGTCCACATTATAATGATAAGATCATCTTTATTGCCTAATGGCGTGTCGTTTTGGTAGCTCCGATGGCGCGTCGTTGATGAGAAATCAACATTTGATTACGATTCGTCGGGTGTGCGAGACGCCCGCACGCTTGCGAGAGGGTAGAGATTGTAAGCTTACGTTATTCCGCTTTCTATGTTACACCCACTCGCTTATGTAGCATTTGTGAAATCCTCGCGATACTGCGATTCGAGCTTACCGAAGTCGTGCGAGTTTACAGATTCGCCGTTGGAAATCGTTAAGTTGCGAGATCAATGACACTGCAGCTGTCGGCCCACGCACACAAAACGTGGCGACACGAATCTGGCATACCGAGACCACCGCCTCGAAATCGGCGAATCTTTCGACAATCGTCTTATTGGGATATTTCTTACATCGAAAACGACCGAAACAAAAATAGCGATTACTTTCTTAAATGTCACGCTATTTATGGCAATTTCACGCTGTGTATTTTGTTTCAAGAAACTTAGAAGTTTTTCAGATTTTTAGAAAAGTAATTTCAAATTATTTTTAATAATCTTATATGTGCAGATAATATTTTTCCAATATTTTTATTAATTATAGAATTTATAATTTATATAATATGAAGCTTCTTTGCAAAGCGGCATCTTTGATAATAACAATTGCCATTCAATATATTTCAAATGACGATTAAAATGTGTCATTTTACATTCTCTACCTTCACCTCCGCTACGTACGGTACTTTGACTTCTTGCCACCATTCATAAATGTTATTGCTCCTAGCTAAATGTTATTGCTCGATCTTTCGGTTGCGGGATTTCATTACGAGCGTTCAGTCGTTATGACATGGTATGACCGCGTCCGTTACGTTTGCACGCGTTACCAATCCATATCGATGCATCTCCGGCGCCGCATCTGTATACTGACGTTATTATTACCTACATCATTATCTTTATCAAAACAGTCAATCTTCATTAAAATCTTGCACAATGTTGCTCCGAGCATCGGTGAGGGCCAACCGGATCTCGAATCCAGTCTGTCGACTATCCTTCAATGCTGCCTTTATGCTTTTCGCAGACAAACGCGATTCATTGTACATTCGTATACTCACGTATACTGACATTTAGATCGTTTAGCAAATAATACAAAATAAAAATCGCGAAGAAAAATGTATAGAAAAATGTAAGAAAAAAATTGAATATACGATAGTAGCTAGAGAACAGCAAGAAATGCGGATCCATAAAGGTGGAGACTGCTCGCTATTGTTGAGTGCAAATGCATGCTGTCGCTGATAAGACACTGTCTCGCACTCGTCACATATAAGTAGCCACAATCTGCCTGATAATCCGTAAAATGCGTAATGATTTATTATTATACTGCGCGATGATGGAGAACGTGTAGATGCAATTTCTGTTACATCTACCTTCACGATTTCGAAAGTAAATTGGCATAATAATGGCCGCCGGTACTTGTTTTGTCGTAGAAATAAATGAATCGCATATATGTATAGGTAGAAGCAAGCAAGTTATCATCTTAGAAAATGTAAACTTCCTCGATACTTCATGATCCATGATGTTGAACTATAGAAAATTACATTGTCTAAGAAGTGATATAACACTCGTATGAAAATTTTTAAGAAAAAGAACTCAAACAAGAAGTATATAATTAACATGTTTGTGATCAATATACAAGAACACGCGCACGTGTTTCTTTTTCGTCAGGAGAGAATGTCTTACGTTGATGAACTGCATTTGTCACATATAATGACCATCATATTTAATGCTAATACATTATTACTTTCTATGACGATAATTTTATTAATATATTGAAGCCATACAATTAAGCTGCAATCACAAGAATAATAAAAGCGCAATTTCCGTGAAAATTCAATTATTAATAATTGTATGTTATTAATGTCATATTTTTTTCTTTTGTAAAAAGAAGAGAGATTAATATGTTTATTTATGATGAACTATACTTAATATATAGTTACTTATAAAATTAGAAAAGTATGCAAATAATGATTATAATCATATAGTTTTGTTGTTTAACTCGGTACATATCGCGTTACGCGTGCGATAAGAGAAGATCATCAGTAACGTCGGTTGCACCTAATAAATATTTACTATCTCATGCATATTCGAGAGTTTGGTGTAGATAACGGCAATCGAGCCGCTCCTATTTGTTCGAAAGCACAACTATAACCATCACGCATTTAAAGTCAGGCCCTAAAGGATCTGCTGGAAGCGATTTGAGAAACTGTCACTTGGTGAATATCTCTTTAGTAGATTCGAAGAAGCTGGGCGTGGTCTTTGACCAATATAATTCTGCCCAAGACTCGAGTCAAGTACAAACGCAATTGCAATCTGTTATAACATTGTATCTCTATACTGTATCTATAGATACAGTAAAAAATTTAACTCTTTAAAGAAATAATGTGTTACATTGAAATTTTTATTAAGCAATTATAATTAACGGTTTTGATTTACAGCTTTTATAATAAAAATTGAGATATTTTGCATAATTTTAAGAATTATTTTCTGACTTATTATAAAAGTCTTTTAAAAAAGTATAATGATACATAATTTGTGTAAAAACTATATAAAGCATAAATATTTTTGATTAATATAAAAATGTTTTTAATATATTTTATTTATTATATTATTATATATTATATATTATATAATAATATTATATATATAATATAATAATAATATTATATTTTATATATTATATATTTTATTTATTTCACTGCTTACACTAATTACGATTTTCTGTGATAAAACATTTTCTTTAGTATTTTCTGAGATTTTAAAATATTACTTCAAGCTCGATCTATCGTAAATTCAATTAAGCTTTATATTCGAAAGATTTAATAGTTATCTATTGTAGATAACACCAATAACATATCTCTTTTTCATCAGCTTACATTTATTATATTATTCGACCTTTTTTTAATTATCCGGCTTTTCTAATTTTAGTCTCAAATTATTAATATTTAAAATTACTATTTTATAACTATTATTTATAAAATTAATATTACATTTATGTTCAGTTATATATAGATATGTACTTAAACTAATAGATAAACTTTTATTTAAATAAGTACAAAAAGTAATAGTTTGATAATTAAAAATTGTTGACTGTGTGATAATATGGAAACAACACATATTTCCAAGGATTTATACAGGGTGTTCTAGATCAATAGTATCACTTGTTAATAGCAGATTTCTGAAGTTATTTGGATACAAAAATCTTTATACTAAAATATTGAGGATACAATAGTTTTTAAATAAGAAATGTTTCAAGTTGATCAATCAAATTGTTAAAAATGCACGCGTTTCAGATACGGTGCATATTGATTTTTATATTTTTATCATATAAAAAATCTCAGAAATTTGCTATTAATGGGTAATACGGTTAATCAGAGACACCATGTATATTTTACATTATTTTTTAATCTATTCTTTTAATGATATTAAAAGAAAATTAATTGGATAATGTAAAATATACAAGTCTCAGACTAATCATATCTCCCGTTAATAGTAGATTTCTAAGGTTTCTCATATGACAAAAATATAAAAATCAATATGCGACGTGCCTAAGCGCGTAAATTTTTGACAATCTAAAAAATTGTTACTTTTAAATTATTTAATTATTAAATTTAAACCCTTTTTATTTAAAAACTATTGTAGCCTCGATATTTTTGTATAAAGATTTTTGTTTCCTAATGACTTCAAAAATTTGCTATTAACAGGTGATACAATTGGCCGGGTATTACTTGTATAAGAAATTAAAAAACTAAATAAAACTTGCTGATATTTTTTCCAAAGTATTTATTCCATCATAGAGATTATAGATAATAATAGATAATATGAAATATCACTAAGCTAGATATATGTGACTGGGCACCAAGAAACTTAGAAAAGGTATTTATGTAAAACTGTTTATAATAATAATAATAATTAGGCGTTTACGAATAACAAGGAATGTATTTATATACAAATACTGCAAATTAAATATCTACAAAGTTAGATTTTTCTCCCTTACATTCCGTCGTCGAGTGTAGGAAGTTCAAAGCGAACAGTCATTGCACAATGATAACGTATGGCTCTAACGGTTCGATTAGTTGCCAGTTAAGGCATATTAATGCTATAAATAAGTATCAATATAGGGCACACGTATTTCCTATTTTTTTTTCTGTTCATCACAGACCGATGTATGTGTAAATCAGCTATTATATAACATTTATTATATAACTATTACATAACAAACTACAGTTATGTTTTGTTTTAATTTTTCGTTTATCATGATAGTCTTTACAGCGGATGTACAATATGACATATATGCGCTATGGAACTATCTCTCTTTGATCTGCGACTTATACGGCCAATTAATTTCTTAGCAAAAAAAAAATTTTGCTTGTTTGGTTGTAACCATAAATTAAAAGTATAATCCACGTTAAAAAAACGTTTATAATTATGTTGATACATTTTATACTAATTTATAACGAAAGGCTATACGTTTTAATAATTTATAGTTACAAACAAAATTCTGATATTTTTGACAGATCCGTCAGTTCCATAAAATCTCTTCATTCTGTCCGTTCATATAATTAACTTACTGCAAAAACAAAATTGCGAGTGTTTAAAATTATTGCTTCTCTTATAATCAGGAAACAATATTTATACGTACTTTAATGTACGATAAAATAATGGTATTCGATAATATATAATGGTTTGCGATACATATATAGCACTTTGTCACCTATGGATTAGGTTTACTTGCGCATTGGCATTGAGCATATTAATTAACTCAATAGAAATATTAATTTAATAGTTACATAAGTTATATATACATATACTCGTCATTTGACGAGCCACCACGCTTTTTCCCCTCTATTCTATTGCACTAATACATTTGCAATAACAATTAGTAATAACTAACTTTGTTATTACAAACAACTTGAGCTTTAACGTGCTCCCACGTTAATCACCGAGATGATCAAACAGAAAGCGCTCCATCTTAAATTCTTTTTCGTTGATCAAGTATCGTACTAGTGTCAAAATATATTTTACAGTTGTTTAAAAATCTATTTTTGCCAGTTCTATTAGCCACGTCGGATAAAATTGAAAAGAGCGAAATATACAAAAAGAGTATGAGAGACAATGCTACGCAATCACCCGCATCCTTGATGAATACTCTAACGAATGTAACTATTTTATGTGATATATATGGAAAAATGGCAAATAAAAAATATGTAACGTGTTTGAAAACATATTGCTATCTTCTGTATCTTTGAAATCCAAGACGGATAATATGTTGAGAGAATATATGGCAATACAAATATATAAAAAATTTTCGCAAGACAACAGAAAGGAAGAAAACAGCGAGTCAAAAAATTAGCTATATACAAAAGCGCATGAATATTACATGACTAATGGATTTGATTTTCCTCGGCATTATTAATCCACAATTATCGCTACAGACATTCTACGAAACACGTCACATCAGATATTTAAAAAGTGGTATCACATTATGATGTATGCAAATGAGCGAATTTATAATAAAATTATGGTATGAGTGAATGTTTTACAAATAGCGCACTAGTGTGGCAACAGTATGTATATGTATATAATATTAATTGATATATTCTTACAGTACTAGATTATTTATTGCACGACGATACAAAAATATTTCTATTTTCCATTGAATTGTCAAAGTACTTTTATGCCCTAAACATTATACTTATAACTTTTTTTTATTGCAAGTGTAAAATCGATAATCGATTGGTAATAATTGATCTTTCCCGCGTGATTTTATCCCACGGGAATCAATCATCTTACACTCGCATGTCGAGTCAATTTAATAATTATAATACACATTTAAATATATGTTTTTATAAGATTGATCGTTACGAGTCATATAAAGTTTTTAATATATAAATAACTATTTACAAATAATAATGGCGCGAAATTAAAGGGGAATAAAAATTATTCCTCTTTGTTGATTGTTAACGATAAGATATTTAAGACGCAATCAATGCTATTGCGATTTGCAGTAGATCATTCGAAACAATCTAGATGATCAAAAAAAAAAAAGTTCTCCGGATGGATCCACTGCATGCAGTGCATATACGAGACATCACAATAACGGACGGAAATGAATCTCAAGAAACATCGACAAGTCTGTATCTTCTAATCATTAGAACGATTAAAGTTTATGCTATCTCCTTCATCAAACGTAAACTTCGCCTCTTTTGCTACCGGTGACAGTCGTGCTAGTAGATACGCTCGCAGACGACGTCGAGGACGCTGTGCCTAAACCGTTTGAAAGCGATGCGTTTGTACACGAAACGCTACTGATTTTTCTCGACGTATCCTGCACCTTCTGATTGGACCTGGAGATATCATGACCAAAACTGTTGGTTCTCGGCCGATTGCCGGATAAGACGGCCAGCCTGTCCACAATGAGACCGTCCTGCCTGCCCGATACGGAAACCATACGGGTTTCTCTTGGCTGCAATCCCGGAGATTGCGGCAGCGATGCGCTTTTATTGTCGCGAACAGACTGCACAACCGGTGGACCGGGCAACGACGCTGATCGTCTACCGCGCGCGTCCGCCGCCGCGTTACTTGCCGCTCCGGCTACGGCTGCGGTGATCACGTAACCGAGTTTTTCGGGTCTCATCAAGATCGGCGAGCGATCGTTGTAACTATCGAAGGTGGGCGAACTGCCGTTGCTACCTATCAGACTGTTGTTATTATCGATGAGCGGCGTCGAGCGATCTTCCTGCCCGGTGATACTTCCGCTTCTGCTGCTACCACTTCCGCTACTATCCTCCTCACTCGACGTGACCTCCGTCAACGTCGCTTGGACGATGTTGCTCTGATGGTTAATGTGCGGTGTCGTCGTCGTCGCCGTCGTCATTAGGCCCAATTGCGTTAGATGACCCATGGTGACCGGTGTTAAGGTCACCGGCGTCATTAGACCGGCGCTGGTCAACGTCGGCGAGAGCACGGCCTGCGCCAGGGCCGCCGTGCCGGACTTCCCTGAAGCGGGGGTGCTCTCCGCTTCCTGTATCGGCGATAATACCACCACCGACAGGTCGGTCGGATAATGACCATTCGCCGTCATCACGCCCACCACGCCGGCGCCGATGTTCGCCGCATTGGTGGCTGACAGAGCTAGCCTCTGCTCACGGTCGACTACCTCTTTTGTTACATCCGGAGTCGGTATACGCGGTCTGTTCTTCAGGGATACCGGCACCGAGTTCAGCTTTGTCAGAGTGCCTGAAATTAGAAGCAAATTGTGGTGAGCGTTGGAACGACGCCTGGCTGATTGGTTCCGGATTCGGGATGATTTCGAGGACGCACGTAGAAAATAGGTAATAACATTACCGATTAAAATAACGATCGTAACTTTTCCCGTCTGGAGAACAGCATCGCGGATGAGCGTGGAAATGAGTTTTAGATCATTGCTTTGGCGCCAGACAGACGATACATTGAATTATATTGATGAAAATATAATTACGCGGATATGATACTTTTACAGTACTGTCTTTCTATCCTATCGGGACATGCGAGAAGAAGAAAAAATAGTAGAAAAAAATCCAAGGACTTAGAGAGTTTTCTCGTTGAACGCGTTGAAGAGAATAATTGCGGAAATTGAGAAAATTGCGAAGGCCATACAAGTTCATGCATTGCGCAATCTACGTGGAAGTAATGAAGGAAAAGCTGACGATTCTTCAAGACTTTCTTTCAAGACAAGTTATGATTCAGAGGAAAAAATCTTCTGGAAACGCCCGCATTGACGGATCTTCTTCGAAATCGTTAATGAAACAAACAGTTCACGGTATATCGTGGAGATAAAAATATAAAAATGCATCATCGTCAATTATCGCATCGTTCAAAAAAGACAGAAAAAGAATATTTCTATCCAACTTTTTGATATACACACCTTGACGACCCATGCGCTGACTGCGGACGCTTTTGCGTCCCACAAGACGATCGTAGAGCGATATTTTCAGATTTGGATTATTCGTTTGAGGGAGACCACCGGTTTCCGGGCTGCTGTACACGCTGTTGTGTCTATGTCGCGAGAAGAAACCACCGCCGCTGCTATACGTGGTCGAGGAACTACGTACCGAACCCACTCTGGTGATCTGCCGTTGGAACCAGCCGTTCTTCTTCCGTTCCACCAACGGAGTATCCACACTTTCCTGATAAACACGCGAGATTCAATATTGAAAGCATTATAAAATTATAATTGTGTGGAAGTTCCAAAAGATCTAAACGAAAGAACTTATATATGAATTCAGTCAGCATATTATAAAATAATTTTTTTTAAATCATGGAAACATTTCTACAACATTTTTAAAATTTACAATGAATTAATAATTGCAAATTTTTTAATAAAAAATTATTAGGTAAAGATGATAAATTGATAAAAAGGATTGGAATCTTGATTGCTTAGACGCTTCTTCAGCGAATCTATTTGATTAAAGAGCGCAGTTCAAGTTTATCGTTCATGTAAAATTTTTTATTATTGCGTCTGGACAATTCACTTACATAATCGGCGTACATATCATCTTGATGACTCTTACGATGCTGAGCGTGATTGTGAATCTGTGTGCCCAGCATAACGTTTGCGTAAAGAGCATCGCTATCTTTTACTTTATAATGTTCCGCGGAACCCTTTGGTTCTTCTTTTCGATATTGTTCGCTGGCAACTGTGTATGGCAAGTCTTTGGGCACGACTTCGTCCCAGTATTGATCTTTCAGAAGTTCCGGATGTTCTTCATGCATCTCATCAACGATCATGTAACCTGCCTGTTATGATAAACGTAATAAAAATATAAGAAAAAATACATTAACATACCGTTAATGAGGAAACTGAAAACTACGCAGAAAGATATATATTTCCGTATGGAAATATACTTTTAATATTTCCTTTAACTATGTTACACTTTGTAAAAAAAAGCATATAAAACGTCGCATTACTGCAAATTGCTTGGATATAAAACTATAATTTATTCTAATTATCTCACCTTAATATGTCTATCTATCAACCAGTTTAGCTCGATATCGTCGTCATCCTCACCGAAAGGATTAATCAGCACCTCGGCGACTTTCAGCCATCCGACATAAAAACAAAACTGCAAGAACACGTCGGATTTATAAAAAGTGCTGAACATTATGCAGAAAAATTCTGACGTCAATGAAAGATAGTATCGTTTATTCTAATCACCTGCAACGTTGTGAAAAATGGAAAATACATGTCCGGATCCTCATATTTCCCGGTGCCTTCGGAACGTTGGACGAATTGTCTGCCGAGTAAAGCCGAGAAAAAGTAGGCGTACAGCGATAGTGTGACCACCTAAAATATATCGAGAGTTTTGTGACAAAGTTCTTCACGTAAAACTACGATAAAAAAAGTCGATAATTACTAGCAAAATATTTTTTACTTGCTGTGAAAAAAATTGTAGTCTAAAAAATAATTAATATCACATCAGACGTAATAAAAAGATTAGCGTGAATTGTAGTTTATTTTACTTAAAGCTCCGTTGTTTTAAGCAAATAGCAAAATCGTGACTGAAAGTAATTATTTCCGCCGGAAGTCCCGAACTTTATCGAAGATTACCGTCTGGTTGCTTCTTTTCTGTTGTGTAAGTACAGGCAAACAGGTTTAATGAATGAAACCTATCAAGGTCGTTACGAGCGCCGCCTTTCCCATCGAAGGTTAACAGGAAATGATAGTTTATGCAAAAGTATAGCACGAATTATACATAAGACAATAGGTAATGTCGCGTGTGGACTTTGAGCATGAAACCGCCAGGATCAAAAGATTTCTTTCGAACGTAGCGCGAAATTATTTCCGAAGGCGTGACGTATCGCGACAAAATTACTGTTCAACTCTCTTGTCGACCTTGACCATGCAGTATGTAGGCTTCATCTTACACGATTCATTATCCGCGCTGCACTCGTCGGTTGAAACTTTGAAACGTCTTACAAGTATATATTGTATTTAGTAAATTAAATTCTCAGTGCATTATTTCGATGAAACTCGTTAATCATTTTTTTAAATATTTATATTTTAGTAACTATATAGAAAAAAATTATACTACATTTTGTATATTATGCAAGATGCTTTTTGAGTTAAATATTTTTGTCACCGTAAAACACGATAAAACAGCTTCGTCGATTGTTATACGAGCGAGCAAAAACGTTTGCAGTGTAAAATATGCAACATGACAGCAAGCGTCTCTTAAAACGGGTATTAATCTTCGACGGATGTATCATTACACGATGAATACGCCGCGGTCGTTACGCGTAATCTTGCGATTTCACGGAGTATGTCGAATCGCGCTATCGTCTTGAGAGAGATTTATATTACGATTTATATATAAGAAAAGATTGTGTTCAATACATCATTGCTTTCCCGAATTAATAACAACTTGTTCGGTGGGATAATTATTACTTACATATAATATCAATAAAATTTTATATTACTTTTTACAGTATATTTTAAAGATTAAATATTGATTATTAGTATTTCAATTAGGCGATTTTAGGTTTATTTATTTCATAATTATTCAAATAGCTGTACAGTATTGATAAGCATAATTTCAGATAATATTGAAATAAAATAAATTAAGAAAAGGGTTTAAGAAAGAATAGGAAAACAATATATAGCAGAAGTCGAGAATGAAACTTCTCGTCGCATCACGTTCGCCCAGATTTACGAAATGGTGCTGCCTTTAATTTCTTCTCGAAAATGGCGCTTACACTCGACAATTATGGAAGTTACTTGAGCAATTACAATTACACAATATATGCATGTTGATTAAATCCGAAAACAAAATGTTTTTCCGGGAACAGATCCATTCTACAGCCTCAACGTATCTAGACACATAATTCTGAGTTCTTCGAATAAATAGAGAAAATTAAAAAATTGATTTACGTGCATAATAATGTTTTTTTTATCGAGTAAAACGATGATAACATTTAAGTAGCGTAGTTGAAAAAGTATTTCCAAAATTTTTGCAAACAACATCAGGAACAGTTGATGCACTCTTCAATACAAATTTGTGGCTTTTCTATTTATTTACAGTTCAGTTTGATGTCACGTATTGTAAATGTAAATAATGCATTGGATACAGTTGTTGAAGAATTACATAATAATGCGTCACGCTCCTGGCGCTTGAAGCATGATAATGACATGACCACAGGGGAATTGATGAAGACATTCACGTAACATATTCGACATCTGCCAATGACGAGTAGCACTATCGATATATAATTGCTGTTTATACGATTCGACGGCGCCAGTGTGAAAAGACTATGGGTGTTTACGATAATTCAAGTTCGAGTTAGTTTCATTAGGACCGAAAAATGAGATAGACATAACCATCTAGAATCTTTATGATTTATGACAACTCAACGCTGTCTTGTATTGCTTGAGTTAAATTAATTGAATTTGTTGAGTTTATAGAGCAAATTTTATTGTAATAAAAAAATGTTAACTGCAAATCAGTCTATGAAAGAAACAAATAATGTTGGTATGTATGTTGGTATACCTCTTTAATAGATATAATTATATATATATGTATATAATTTTATATTTATTAAACTCAACAAATTCAATGAATTTAACTCAAGCAATACAAGACAGCGTTGAGTTGTCATGAATCATAAAGGTTCTAGATGGTTATGTATATCTCATTGTCGGTCCTAGTGAAACTAACTCGAACTTGAATTATCGTAAACACCCTATGAAAGTAATATTTTCTCGTTTCTTTCTTGTCTACGAAAGAGGTGCAATAAATAAAACGAATTGCTACACAGAATTTCACTAGTCTCGGAATCGCTAATAAATTTACATGCAGCATTTACGAGTTATTGCCTTGCAGATTTATTTTCCGATTTTATTACTTTAATACGCTTTAGCAATCAAATCCAATTAATTCGATACTCGATATTTTGTTTAATTTATTGATATTTGTCATAAGTATATAATCATACGATTTATTTCACGCCAGCTTGTGAGTGCGCTTTGTAAGCAAATAACTGGCGCATCTAATTATGATTCGATATCACGCGAGGCTACTCACCTGAGTGTAGACTAGAGGAACGCAAACAGTATCGTAACCAATCAATGCGCCAAGCCTTTTCCGGATGTCGCTGAGCTCGACAAGCAGAGTTTGCACTACATGATCGCTAGAAATCAGGGCCTCTTTTCTCGCCCTGTTGATGATGTTGGTTGCCCAGACGAGCGGCATCCAATACTTGGACATAGCCGCCTTCTTATTCATCATCTCAAAGATTTTCTTCTCCGATTCCATCATCAAGCCTGAAAAAGAATAAGATGTTTTCAGTATTTGTCCGGCTTAAGCGAAAAACATTTCCGGACATCTCAGCAAACTGTGTAATTACGCAAACTTTCCCCGCTTGATACGCCTGAAAAATTTCTTCAACGGACGCCAGTATATCGTAAATCGCGATCGATATCGCAGGGCAGTAAGTCAGCAAGCCCGTGCTTTGCAATGCTCGGCGAACCCGCGTTAATTAACAAACCCATCAGCACGGTTCGTTAATCGCCAGCAGATTATCAAATAATCAGCATCTTTCGCCGACTTTCGCGTGCGCAAGCTCTATAACAGCATAGTCGTGCATTCCAGTTAGATTGTAAATAAAATCGAATAAATCTCTAACGCGAAACACAAAATATGATGTATTGTACAATCATTGTAATAGATTCCTCGCGTAATAGATTCCTCAAAACCAAAGTGAAATCGTCGTTCAAACCAATTTTACTTCATTTCCTGATTAGTGACGCACCTACGCAGACAATATTATTACATAAAGCTTTGCTAAGCATTGTCATGTTTTATGTAAATAAACTTTCTTAATGTTAAAAAATGTTTTATGTTTTATCAGATCGCATATCATTTTCATAAAAATCAGTTTCCGAAATTAATTTCTGTTATTCCAAATTTAATTTCAAAAAGAATGTGACTGTTTATATAAAAAATAAATTTATGGAATACGTTCAGAATTTTTCATTGATTGACGACGTTTTTATAATGTACATCTTTTTCAGTATAAATATGTATGCTATGCATACAATTCTCGAGCATAAATTTACGCTGGATGAACCTCTGACAACGTAAGGTGAAAAGCATATATGCGCGGAAAATATTGAATGCTGAATAGAAGGCATCTTGTTACAAGTGATTAATTAAAGTTACACAAAAAGATCAATTGTTTATTATCTGATAAACAACGATTGCATAATCATGTGAGTCTATATAAATATTAGACATGCACAATAGTGCATGTAATGAAAACAGAAAGGATCGTAGAAAAAGATGAACGTTTCATTAGTCAATAAATTACCTTTATTGATGTCAGATAAGAAAGGAGAATAACATAATAGGTGTAACAAATGACTTTCATATGCAGATTTTAGTTTAAAACAAAATGAAAAGACGCGTGATAAAGTTACCTAAACCTGATTATGCAATATTATCAGTATATCCTCCGGAACAAATTTAAAAAAAAGAATCTTTCTCGAATTATTAATTAACACTTTCCTAGTGAAAGTGTATAAACGAATTCTTTATATACAATCTGCTTGAAAGCATCATACAATACAATAAGATATCTGGATACAGCGTTGAAAAAATATATTCTGTTTTTGTTTTCTATTTTTAATATTAATAAAAATTGATTTAATAACTTAATTTTTTAATTAAATATATTTTCAAATTTATTTATTTGTTTTTTAAAATTATTTATGACTTAAACAACTATTTCTTAATCAAAGACAAGTGTAATAATTATCATTTTCTACTTCTTGAAGCGAGTTGTAATTCGTGAAACACAATTCTCGTACCATTTATTTCAAACTCTATGAAGAAAACATCTACGTAACAATAAAAATGTTTTGTCGCGGTGATCAAAGTCTCCCGTCATTAGATATCTTATGAATACGTTCTACAATCAAGGAAATAGATTGGACACTCTTAGGAATGATCGTAGTCGGAACAAAAACCATTTTAAAAGTCACGGCAATCGCAGCGAGCGTCGCAAGTCGATTGGTGCGCGATCGAGTAACGGGAACATCGTAATTTCTCTCGGACGATATCTTTTTATTGTTAGAGCAGAAAGGGTTGTATTCGCATAAGCGTATATCCATAACTAAGCTGGAGCAATGTCCGAAAAAGAGGCAACCTTGCTGTGAGCAGTTATCGAAATGATTTGCGGCGTCACTCTGTCGAGTCATTGATCGAAGAAACTGTCTGCGAGATGAAAGAAACTCCGGTGGAAACGTGTAGATTACTAATGACAGTACACATATTCTTTTATTCAGAAGACGTACGATAGTCGGATCAGGTACACATCTTAATAATAAAAACTGACACGGAGGATTATGCGTTCAATTTAGCGTTTTATGTGATTTATATACCTTAAACACATATAATTAAAATTTTTTACTTACGGTTTGATTATACTTCTACTGATTTCTTTTGCATCGAACTCATATGTGCCTATATGTATAGTATACATTGTATGTGTATAAAACATGCATGATGCATCGCTCTTATCATTTTTTACATTGCTTTAAATATTATACAGGGTGTCTGGCAATAATCGCCCCACCGGTCATATACAGGTAGAGGAGGTCAAATCGAGTAGAAAAGTCCTTTACCATTTTTTGATTTTTGTAATAAGTACTAAGTAATTAACGAAAAAAGATTGGTGAATCCGTGCAAGTAAAGCGCGCGCAGCGAGAAGGACATCCCACTGCTATGCGATCACTAGGCGCGCGATGAAGCGTTGGGAGGAGCGCTCTACAAATGACAATGGCAACATACGAGCGGCGCGTAACGCTAGATCCTTGTGTCCTAGTGATCGCGTAGCA